CTGTCCATGCAATAGACAAGGAGCTGAAAGGAAAGCAACCAGCCAGTATAGTATCAAATATAGAAGGCTTATGAATTTCCATTTCATTTTTGGCAAAAACTAAGAAAAGCTGATGCAAGAAAATTTCTTTCAGGCATTAGTTTATTTGGTAGGGGAGCATTTATAGGGCTTGGCTTAAATAACAAGGAAATACTTTTTAAAGTAAAAGTGAACTATTTCATATATTGATCTAATTCACATGGCAGCAATTATTACATTTAATTCTGCAATTATTTCTTTGAGGGGAAAATAGTAATTTTTTTTTCCATTAGGGAGATAGACAGCACATTTTCCCACACATGTTCTAACAAAACATCTATAGAAAAGTTTTCAGGGAAGATATGACAGAAATTCTTAGTGATTTCTTTGTTATAAATAATTTTTTAAAAGGTACTTTTTAAAACAGAAAAGTTAATTTATGCACAGTTTCATATTTACAAAGTCCTTTGACAAATGAGAATCATGTGGGGAATTTGGTAATGGGATCTATAAGACTTCAGACAATAAAAAACAAAGCATCTAAAAAGACCAGTCCCCCCCGCCCCCCCTAGATAATACTCACTTCAGGAAAACCAAGTTCAATAGAAATATCTGCTCTATGTACACTGTTTTTACATTTAATGACATGTATAGCAGTGGGCCTTTGACACATGCAGGCAGTAGCTTGACCATTACATCACGTTATACATTTCTCCAACACTGATTTTTTTTTTACTTAATTAAACTCATAAAGGCATAGAAGTGAAGAATCAGCAGAGCACAATTGCCCGTCGACAATTAACTTAAGAAGTGACTGAGTCTCTCCCAGAATATTATTCACAGAGGGAAATTGATTTCTCAGAGATGGGTCTATAAGTTGTTGTCATAGAAATGTAACTTCAGAGCATTTCCTTAAGTTTTTGAAAGGGGTTTATTCCTTCTAGTCCTTATTTCGTCCTCACTAGTTCTTAGCTACTTTACATGGACGAGTTTACCAGAAGGACAGCTCAGTGTTTTGAGTCTCCATTTTCTTTTAATGTTTTGTTCTTCTGTCTCTTCATTCTTATTCTAATGACCCACTTTAGGTAAAGAAATTCATTACTAAAGGAGGGAGGGAGACATGTTTTAAAGTCAGAGTTCAAGAAAAAAAGTGGTTCTTTCATGTTATTTGATCGTTCTGTAGGTAAGAAATAAGATTTTTGATAGATATGGCTCTATCTCTAATAAGAATTCAATCCTTCCCCACTTATCTGGTCTATTATTTTTGACACCAATTTACAATGGCTTGTATGAATGTATAGATTAATCACATATTTGATGACAGTCTCTATCCTGTAGATGGCATGACTGAGTTGAAGTCTGACTGTCCAGTATGTCACTTGGTGTTTTTACAATGCCATATTTCATGAATAAATGTTTAAGTCTGATTTCTCTCTTTATGCCAGTATTGAGTTGGAATGTCCTTTTATTTACCGTAAGCAGCCGGAACAACAAGGAACATTTTTGAATAACCTGTAGTATTCTTCTTGAATCTGGAAAAAAAAATGAAGACAAACAAAAGAAATAATACATTACTTTTACAGAATTCTGTGAATTCATTCATAGTAAATTTCCAAAATCTCTTATAATGATTTAAAAATCAAGGACAATGCAAAAGCATCATACTGAGAGGCCTAAATATCCACGTGTGAAACTTTCCAGAAGCAATTGATAATAGTGGTGATGAAATTCACTGTCTTTAGGAAAGAAAGGCTAAAGCAATTAATTCTCTTCAGATAGTTGTTTTCATTCACTGGGGTATCAGTTTTATGCATTACAAGCAGGAGATACTGAATGAAGGTGAAATACTTACTTTTCTAGATAAAACACAAAGAAATAGGAAGATGAACATCCCCTGGAAAGCATTGCTGATTGTGAAAAGGTATGCTGTCACCACCGATGCATGTACAACATGGAGAACCCCAAAGATCCAGGTGGTTCCAAGAAGGAAGAGCAGGGCCAGGGCTCCCCGTGCACACGACCTAAATCATATTTATAGCATTATAAAGGAGGCTTCAGTACCTTGTTTGACATTCTGAAGCCTTCCATAATTATACCGTGGAAAATTCACAAGCCAAAGAATCTTCTTAAAAAAAGACCGAAAATAATTTTGAATTATGAAAAAAGAAAGCCTACTGTAGTTACATGGGGTGGCCTTTAGGGTGTGCTGCTGTACTGTTGCAGGAACTTATAGCTAAAAGCAGGCTATGTGCAGCATTAAAAAAGCAGATAATTTTTTTTTCCAAAAGAGACTTTCTAATCTGAAAATGTTTTTTTTTTCCCCCTCCCCTCTTTCTGGTATACTGCAGACCAATATGATTTGATTTTAAATCTACTGTTCATGTAATTCCCAAAGGTAAAACATATATCTGTTATGAAGTATTTTCCCCAAGAAACCTTGAAAAATGTGCTGTGTGCTCCATAGGTCAGCCCATGTGCACAACATCAAAAGAATTTTCTGGCTTCCTTTCAGATGCGATACAGAAGAAGGTGCAGGATGTAAAACTAGATTTTCTTCCTTTTGATCTTACAACACAAATGCCTCTCAATTCTTCCAGGGTCAGAGTACTGATGTCTCTATGTTAGAAGTACCTAGTATGCTTGCGTATGTATATCACAAGCATATAACACATGTGAATGTGCGTATAATATATATGGGCATGTGTGTGTATGTACCTACATTTTGACAAAAAAAAAAGAATTGCCTATGACTTTCGGTGAAATATTATACAGTCTTATTCACTGACTATACTGATGACTTTCATTGCCTTGAAAATGGAGTAACTAATGATTGGTTTTTCATTCATTCTTAGTCCAATCACTCCTTAGTATGGAAGATCTTTTAGCCCTGTTCCTTAGAAAATGAATCATTTTCAACTTCATTAAAACCAGCTCCCTCCATGAGACTGCAGAGGGGAAGGAGTAACAGAAAGTCATCAATCACACAATAGCTAAATCCTAACTATAAATCTGGTGCAACACATGGAAACTGCAGGAGTGTTTCTAAGCAACACAAACAGTACGTTGTTTTCAATGTTCCCTATTGTACACTTCAGCTTTCCCTGCACAAACGGTTTTCAAGGTCTCAATAAATCAGTTTTAAGGAGAAAGAGCTGATGGAGAAAATCATGGCAACATGCAATCTAGGACTAATTCTCCACCCCATCAAAAAATATCTTTAGAAGATTTTGTCCTTCTTAGAAGGAAAATGACTAAGAAATGACCTTGTGCTTTCTGAGCACAAGCCCAATCATTTTTTGGGTAACAATAACTGACATTTATATAGTGTAAGCCAGCATCCTGATGTTCAAAGACATCAAGAAAGACCCCTAGCATGTTGGGAAGACCCCCTGTGGCCAACTTGTTGGAAGATATGGAGAAGAGTAACAGAAATGGGACACTCGGATAGTTTGAGATCTGCATGCTCACTGAGGACACACGTCAATGAAATTATTGGTTCACTGGAGTATTTGAGTATATGGCACTTAAAGGTTGGCTAAGCACCATCTAGTGTACTAGTAATAACAACAATAAAAGCTAGCATTTTGTGTAGGGCCTACTATTTGTCAGGCACTGTGCTAAGAGCTTTAAAACTATTATGTACTCATATGTCCTCTCAACAGCTTTGGGAGGTAGGTGCTATTATCTCCATTTTACCATTGAGGAAACTGAGGCAAACAGAGATTAAGTGACTTGCTCAGGGTCACATAACTAGTTAGTGTCTGAGGCTGGATTTGAACTCAGTCAGGTCTTCTAACTTCAGGCCTAGCACTCTCTACTCTGCTACCTAGCTGACTCTAGAATGTAAGTTCTTTGAGGTCATCGACTGTTTTATTGTTGTCTTTGTACTCCTAGTGTCTAGTAAGCATTAAGAAATAATTAGTTAATTGAATTACAACCCTGTGACTTTACAAATAAGGAAGCTGTGGCTTTGACAGATTAAATGTCTCATCCAACGTCATGCAGCTAATATATTAGGCAGGATTTGAACTCAGATCTTCCTAACTCCAAATCCTGCTTTCTATTATACCAACATAGCTTATCTATGGTGATTAAAAACCTTAAAAAATATATTAAATGCTATTGCAAAATAATGAGGGTGAACTTGCTATTTTCTGAGTACTTTGGCCATAGGTTGTTGGTAGCATAGATTAATGAAGGGTCTACCTTATCAAAGAAAGGAGACTTGGAAGAAAACTTACCTTATATTTTCATAACAACTAACTTCTGGTTTTAGCATTGCAGTATGTCGAAAAACTTTATAGATGATCACCCCAAAAGCCAGCAGATTAACCTGAGGAAACATATTAATTTCAATTGACAGTGAAATAATTTTGAATGTTATGATTAGAGGCATATTGAAGAAGATGAGAAAAGAGGTAAAGATTTCACATTGTAAGGAGCCTGGAAAAATCATAGCAGTTTTACATCTTAGAAAAACAAAATCCTTTAATAGACATGAGTCAAGCAAATCTGTAACTCGACCTAATCTTAACATTATCGCCACAAATGTTTATTGATTTATTTTTTTGGTAAATCTGTCCTATTCCCAGTGTAGATTATTTTAAGCAGATGCCAAAAAGGCTCTTCAGATTTCCCACTATCATACATATTGATCAGGGCATATCATCTGTTGCCAGCAACATCAAAAGCTCCGTGAGCATGGAGGTAATTTTGGATTTGGAAAGTGTTGGGAATAATTTAGAAAACAATTTTGATAGAGCCTTTACTGAATGGCATGCGTTACATTTTTACAAGGGTTTCCATGAAGAATGCTGTTAGTGACTTTTCTGAAAAAATTAGTTACTCTCCATTGAAATAGACAAAGGGGATGTAAAAGAAAACTGGAACCTTTAGGAAATAACGATCAATTGCCCCACACAGTCAAATACCCAATAAATGTCTGTTTAATTGAATTAAAAACCATTGCTATGTTTTGTCAGATTTCATGAAGTTTCCTACCCTTCATCCTGTCCCAGATTAATCTCACGACACTGATGACTGCAGTTTATTTCCTTTCCTACATTTTGTGTCAAAATCTCTTCAAATATTTATAAGGTAATATTTTTTTTTTCTGTAAGACATTCAGATTCTATTAACATATGCTTACTTGTAATTTAATTCTTTGCATTTGGTGCCATGAACTAATTATATGTGAATCTTTCCTACCATTTTTAAATCTTCAAAATTTTTTTAAAAAATGGATAACTATTATTATTTATCTGTTTGAAGGATAAAAGTCCCTGACATTATTTGTCTTTGTAAAGTTTTAGAAATTAGTTCAGCTTATAGTGGAGGGGATGGGCATCTGATGAAAAGCAAACTTCGCTTTAATTTTGTACTTATCCATATATGAAGTACTCAAATCAAATGAACATAGTGACCTCAACACGTAGAGGCAAGAGTATTAGATGGGAGTTAGCAAGAGTTTTGGATTCTTATCCTTGATCTTTCATTCATTCACTTAGATCAATATTCTTTTGTTAAGTAGCTTGTGCTTACAATAATAATAATAATAATAATAATAATAATAATGATAATAATAATAATAAATAATGACTTTATATTTGTTTAGCATTTCTCAGGTTTTAATCCACTTTGATTCAAATTCCCCAGTGTGAGTCATAACATCCTATGAAACATACACACCTCAAAGGTAATAAACTGGCACCCATTTTACAGATGTCCTAATTGACAGGACTTAACACAATGCAGCTTGCCCCAGGATAACATTGAAAAGCCATGGTACCCTGATTCCTCATCTAGGGCTTTTTTCCCCCTAACTACTACACTTGCTTTGAATATGTTTTCCAATGGTTTTTCATTTTTGAAACTGTGATAGGCAAAATGATGATAGGCTAACTTTTAAACAAATCATAATAGGGAATTTGTTAAATTTCTCTTGTCTTTGTGTCTGGAACTAACACTAATTAGAAGCCTCTCTTTATGATCTATTTTATGGGTTGTTGGAAATTTTATAAATTGCTATGCATGTTACAACTTTAACCAAAGGGCAGGTCCAGTATTTGCTAAAATATAACAGCATAAGAATAAATAAAAGGAGCTAAAGAATTTTTGTGCTGTTGCTTCTCTATGAGGTTGATCTTTGGAAGCAAAATCTTATGGGTATATTATAAGATGAGGTTTAGGCTCTTCTATACTGGAAAATGTCCATTAATTCTAATTACTTCATTAATTAATTCTAATGGGAATAATGCTTCCCTATCAAGAGAAGAGAAGACCTTTTGTAATTGCAGAGGGGTGATAAAATTGATTTAAATAAATTTAGGTGACAATATTTGAGTAGTCATGCAGGTAACTATTACGATAAATAAGTAATATTTTTATGTAATAATTTCCAATGTCATAAAAAACCTGACTATCCCAGGGACTCTTAATTTTTCTCTTATTATGGATCACTTCTCAGAATAATGTTTGTTGCCTATACTCATAATTGAAGGAAAGGCTAAATTTCATTTAGAAGTCAGTGACATTGAATAAGTAATTTTTTTTTTACCAAGTTCACAGTTCCTCTGAAATGTAGTAACCCTTGGATTAATTCTAGGTTTTTCCAGTTCTAAAAAACTATAATTTCTTTCTAACATCATCAATTAAGACAGAATGGATATTGTATAAGGCAAAAGCTAAAAAAAAAAGCCCACATGAAATATGCTAGAAGTTACTTTTTATGTCTTGAAAATATTTGTGAGACATTCTAAGCTACATTGGTTATCTTGGTAAAAACAGGAGTTAGAAAATATGAAAATGTTCAAAGCAGTTCCAAAGACCCACACATTTTGTAATTTGCAGTATGTTCTAGCAACACTTCTCAAGTTTTGCTTCCAATATAGCTAGCTCTAGGTTGGGGTGGGGAGAGAAAACTGTTGCTCACACCACTCTGGGTTCTGTGGAGTGCTCACTTGTTTGGGCTTTGCAGTCCTGTGCCATATGCTGAAATCAGGGAATAGGGAAATGCAATGTTCCCAAGGGACAACTCATACCTGGAAACTACATTTTCCAATGCAGAATGGAAAACTGTTCTTGTGCTCATAAAAACCAGGTGCTGCTGGGCAGTGGCAAACTAATTCTTATTTCACGAAGGACATCCTTGGATGTTTTTCTAAATCTGCATGTGTGCCCATGTTGAAAGCTTCCCTTTATTGATGGTATTATTTACAATCCAAAATTATTTACTAATCCAAAATTTACATTCATTTGCTTCTTGATTCTTGATGATATGAGCTATAAGCATATGGAACTTGTTACCTGGAGATGTTATTATATACCTCTTCAGTATAAAAATAGATTCAAGAAGGGTTTTGATAAATTCAGGGATAAGAAATCCACAATGACATATTGAGGGGATGTTGAGGATATTTAGGGCATTTCCTTAGCATCCAGAGGTCATAATGGAAAGTTCACATACTCTCAGCCTAAAACCCCTTAGGGCCATTTTGAGAGTAAACATTAAGCTATCCCTTGGGATCTTGTCATGTGACTGTGCTGCTTGACATATTTATCAATGACTTGGTGAAGGGCACAGATGGGATTTTTACCAATGATTTGGTTACAGGCACAGATGACATCCTTATCAAAGTTGAGGATGACACATAGCTAAAACAGGTAAGAATTAAAAGGTTCTTAAAAGGTTAGAACATTGGGCCTAAAACAAGTGACATAATTTAACGTGAATAAATTTAAAGCCTTGAACTTGGGTATAAGAAATTGACTTCATGAGTATAAAACTGGAGAGGCCTCTTTAGAAGGAAATTTGTCTGGAAAAAAACATCTGGGGGTTTTATTGGTTTGCAAACAATAACTTAAATGTGAAATGACAATGGAAAAAATGAATGTAGCCTTGGACTACATTAAGCAATACACAGCTACCAGAAATAATAAAATAGTAGTTTTTCTGCACTCTGTCCTGGTCAGATTAAATCCAGAGCAGGGGTCCTCATCTTTATTTTATATAAAGGATCCCTTTGGCAATCTGGAGAAGCCTATGGATTTCTTTTTAGCATAATGTTTTTTTTAAAGCATTAAATAAAATACACAGGATTATAAAGGAAAATAGTTACCAAAATATTTTAAACAACCATGGACCCTAGGCTCTAAATCATTATTAGAGAAGTGCAAATTAAAACAACTCTGAGGTACCACCTCACACCCGTCAGATTGGCTAATATGACAGAAAAGGAAAGTGATAAATGTTGAAGAAGACGTGGGAAAATTGGAACACTAATGCATTGTTGGTGGAGTTGTGAACTGATCTAACCGTTCTGGAGAGCAATTTGGAACTATGCTCAAAAGGCTATAAAACTGTGTAAACTCTTTGATCCAGCCACTACCACTACTAGATCTGTATCCCAAAGAGATAATAAAAAAGGGAAAAGGACCCACATGTACAAAAATATTTATAGCAGCTCTTTTTGTGGTGGCAAAGAATTGGAAATTGAGGGATGCCCATCAACTGGGGAATGGCTGAACAAGTTGTGGTATATGAATGTAATGGATTACTATTGTGCTATGCATGAGAAATGGTGAGAAGATAGAATTCAGAAAAACCTGGAAAGACTAAATGAAATGATGCTGAGTGAAGTGCTCAGAATCAGGACATTATACACAGTAACAGCAACATTGTGTGATGATCAACTATGATAGACTTAGCTCTTCTCAGCAACACAATGACCCAAGACAATTTCAAAAGACTCGTGGAGGAAAATGCTATCCACATCCAGAGAAAGAACTATGGAGTCTGAATGCAGATTGAAGCATATTATTTTCACTATTTTTTGTTTCTCGTAGTTTTTCCCTTTTGTTGTGATTCTTCTTTCACAACATGACTAATGTGGAAATATGTTTAATATGATTGTACATGTATGACCTATATCAGCTTGTTTACTGTCTTTGGGAGGGGGTGGGGTGTAAAGGGAAGTGGAGTGGGAGGGACGGAGAAAAAATTGGAACTCAAAATCATACAAATGAATGTTGAAAAGTATCTTTACAAGTAATTGGAAAAAAATAAAGTACTATTAAGTGGAAAAAAAACGGTAATAAAAAAAAATCACAGACTCTCAGTGCAGGACCCTACATGTTGGAGGCCTGATAAGTTGAAGAATTCCTTGATGAAGTCAAAGAAAAGTGGCTTTGCATCCTTATCCTATAAAAATTGGTTGGTTGATGGAACTAGGGATGTTTAGCCAGAAGAACTCAAGGGAAACCTGGTAACAGTCTTCAAGTACTTGAAAGTCTGTCACGTGAAAGAGGGATTATATTTGTAATTGCTTGGCCTTAAAGGTCATAAATAGGTATAATGGCTGCAGAGAGACAGATTTAGGCTTGACTTCAAGGAAAACAAATCCTAATGACCAGCACAATCCAAAAGTGCATTAGCCCATCTCAAGAAGCAGTGGGTTCCCCCTCACTGAGATATTCAGGTGAAGACTGGATTATCACTTGTGCATTATAATTGGGATTGTTTTTCAGGCACAGGTTAAACTAACATGCTGCAAAAGTCCTAGCCAATTCCCAATTCTGTGATTTGTTTGATTCTGTTATGTGACATTTCTTTATGTTCCTGTGGTCATTTAGTGACCCCTAGAATGAAAGGATTAAAAATAACTTCCTTTGTGTGTGCTGCCCAATTCTAGATCTATGATGCTAGTATTCTATATAAATATTCTCTCCTAACCATGTTGAGTATGGGGTAAGTTACTTGCAGTTACTAGTGCTTAATTTGAGCCAGTATAATTTTTCACAGAATATCAAAGCTATAATCTTAAAGCCACTGTGGGTGAAGATGATGAAGAGATTTGGAAGAAGACACAAATACAGGGGAAAGAGGGAAACAAGGTAAAGTAGACAAGAAGAATAAGAATCTACCCACAGGTGGAAGGAGGGACATTTACCTAAGTGACTGACAGTGACTCACTGACTGTGGCAAGGGTGGAAAATGATAGGTAAAATCAAATCAAGGACATCAGAAGAAAGGTAAGCCAGGCTATGGAATTTTTGCAATCTGAGCTTTAGCATTAATTTTTGGTGTGCAGAGGAAATCCCAAAGGGACGAAACACATGAGACAAGTCTTGATCACAGTCTTCTAATGAAACAAAATGATAATAAAAAAGAAGTGAAAACTAATTACTAAAATTTTAACATGTATTAATGAATACAGTTTTAAATTATGGATTATCTAAGTACTCTAATGACAACAACCACACAAAGTCCTCCCACTTTTGATTTTCCATATTTTCCCCTAATGGGTTTCTCTTATCAGTGATCTGGAAGTTTTCAGTGACTTGAGCAGATTGAATGACTAATTTTGCTAGTCATTCACTCATTCTGTAATTCAGTGACATATCTCTAACTAGGCCTGTATTCAGGATGGGTCTATTGCAGACCACTAAATTAATGTTTGTAGAACACCTGCTATGTATAAAAGGGACACAAAAAGTATGATATATATCTCTGTCTTTAAGAAGCAGATGTTGTTGAGGAGACAGACCAGGACATATGAGAAAATATACATGAAAGAGGGCTCCTTGGTAACATATGCTCATGAAGATTGCTTGTAGTACTTAAAGGGTTGAGTATGTCTAATGGTTTCCTCCATGAGTAGAATGTAAGCTTCTTGAAGGGAAGACTAGTACCACATTGTTATCTTTAGTCCCTGGGTGGTGTTAGAGATAAAAAATAAAAATGGCACAGTTCTTGCCCCCAAGAAGCTTACATTCTACTTATGGGGAAAAGCATTAGAGATACTGAACAATGGGATGTATGTATACTTTTGTTATCCCAGAAATAATAGACACACATTGGGTGTACCCTCTGTGGCAGTCATAAGAGAAGACATAGTTAAGACCTACCCAGGATGAGCAAGTATGGATGGGGTGCAATCTGCAATCTTGGAGGGATTGCCAACACTGATCAAATCATAGATCCATTTGAGATGCTAAGTATTTGAGAATTACCTCCAGAATCTAGATAGTTCCTTGTACAGAGTGGATACTTTAGTATAATCTTCACATTGATTATTTCATAATATTATATTTTATATATATATATATATATATATAGTATACATATATGTGTTTATATATGTATGTGTATGTATGTGTATATATAACTATGTCATCATAAACTACATGTTACAATAGGTAGTATTTAAAGCTTTATGGTTTGCAGAGTTCTTTACAAATATCTTTTCATTTGATTCTCCCCACAACCCTGATAGGGAAATGCTACTACTACTATTATTATTCTTATCATCTCCATTTTACTGATGAAAAACTTGAAGCAAATGGAAGGTAAGTGACTTAACCAAGATCACACAGCCAGTAAGTATCTGACATTGAATTTAAACTCAGGTCTTCCTGACTACAGGCAGAAAAGCACCTAGATGCCTCTAGGATTATTACTCTAGTCTCATTATTTTTATCCTGAATGTTGGAGGTTTTAAAATGCACAAATACTTAGAGATGAGCACTGATTCACAATTGGTTTGTTTTACAGTTTTTGGACTATCAACTACCACAGCCTGTAAAGTTTTCTCAGGACTGCACATGGAGAATATGCACATCCAGAGTGTGAAAAAGGAGAAAGAAACCCGCTAGTATCCCCCACCATACCTTGCATTACAGGAAAGACTGGAAATGGCCACAGGGGTGACATTTGTCTAGACCAAATAAAGAGACCACTTCTAAAAAGAGAAAGTAAGTTATCATTCAATTTAGAAGTCTGTTGATTTTTTTTTATTCCACCTTCAGGGATATTTATTTACAGACTGGAATCTGTACTCTCCTTCATGATCCATATTCTTTGCAGAAGATCAGTGGGCACCCTATGCTTCTAGTCTCAGTGTATTAGAGCTCGTTCAGTGCCTGTCTTTCTAGAACTGGAAAATTTAACAAGAAGAGCCAGTGAAAAAGCAGGAGATAATTCTGAAAGATTTAGATATACAAGTCCTGATTCAGTCTGAGTGCTTCAAATTCAGACTTCAAAATGAATCCCCCCAAATCAGTCATTTTTCTTTTCTTAGTCTCATTCTCAATAATTGATGAAGCCATCTATATGCTGATGTCAGATCTCACCAAAAAGAATGAGAAAATTTCTCCTGCTGCTCCTTTAGATGCAAGCTTGAATTTTTTACATACATCAGATGGAATCTGGCTCCTTTGGAAATGTGTGATGTTCAGAACTGCTATATTTCTTCAACTGCTCCTATTATCTTGAAATTAACCAATTTATGATAGCCTCAATTTTGTCAAGGGCAAAAGACACAGGTCATTGTGTCTGCCTGGCCAAAGACATGCGTGAATTAGTGGCCTTTTCTCAACCAATGTGCTATTTTAGTTAGGGTACCATAGTGTTAAACAGTTGACAAGGCAACAGTTTAAACTTCCAACTTTTTAAAAACTATGCCATATTAATTGCAGAGAATTGCTCACAAGCTGGCAATCAAGCCGTCTCGGTTTTGTCTCCTGTATGATTTTTCTTATTATTTCCTCCCAATTGGCAGTGCTTCTGTAAATGCTTTAGCTACAGCACTAGTCATGTAGAGCATTGGAAAGCTGGAGGTGGGGGGGGGGAGGAGAACAGCAAGAGACGCTAAAAATTAAATTAGAATAAAGAAATGCTCAGCAGTAGTACATGCGAGATTTTGCAATTATAATTGCTCTGAAAAATCTCAATTATTTAAAATATGAATACTTGATAGCTAAATATATTTAAGACCATGTCTAAATAAGTATTAATTTTGTCATAAAATTATGCATTGCTATGAAAATTTAATAGAAAGTTTATAATTTATGCTCTAGATATAGCATATTTGGCAAGTATGCCAACGTCAACATTTCTGAACATGTTCTCAAGAAGGCCTTTATTTATTTATTCATTTATTTTTTAGGTTATGCCTATATTTTACTTTAAAACAAAAAACCCCCCCAAAATTCTGGCACAAATCATAACCAACAGATGCTGTCCTAAAGTAAAATTAAAATCACTACCATAATTAATTCAAACACATAATCTTTATCCATATTGAAAGCTTCCATTCATGAAGACACTCATTCATTCCACAAGCATTTATTAGTGACCTACTGTGTGCAGAGTAGTGTGCTAAGTGTCTGAAGGCCGTACAGAGTTTGAAGAGACATTCTCCCTCCTCACAAGCGTAGCTCAGGTACCACTCCTACACCATCCTTTCCCTGATCCTTCTTGTTAAAATGGCTTTTACTTTCCCTTTGAAATTCTTTGTATTAACTTTGGTTATACTTTCTACTTATCTGCATGTGTGTAAGTCTGCATATATACACGTGTGTGTGTGTGTGTATTATATATATATATATATATATATATATATATATATATATATATATTTATAGAGTTTTCCCTTCCTCTAATATAATGTAATTATCTGAAGGCAGGAGTTGCCCCTTACCTTTGTCTCCCCTGCTTAGCCTAGAGTGCATTGCACATTATGGGGAAGGGTCAGAGGGAGGAGGGATTTCATTGATGTAAGGTAGAAAACTGCTACCAACTCCCTCTTTCAAAGAAGTTTAGCTGCAGCTCTTTGGTGCCCTGGGAGGACTGCATTGACTTTCAAAAGGCCCCATCACCAGTAGTACTTGAACCTGGTTAATTCTGACACAGACGCTGGCCATCTATTCACTATGCCAGGCTTTATCTTATCTTGAATACAAGAAGCATTTCCTAAATGTTTGCCAACCTGAATTGAACTAATCCACACAATAGTAGGCATTCAGATAAATTGATTTGATACTACTGATATCAAAAGGGCACTGCTAGAGATAGACTTTCATCAAAAAAGACACGACCTCTTACCAATGCTATATTCTTAAAAGTATGCAGGGAGGCAGGATGGACCTTGGGACTTTAAGCTCTTGGGGAAAACACACTCATACCCACTCAGAATAAATACGATCTATGTGACATGCTTAACATCCGACAATCTGAGGTCAACCTCAGGTGTCATTCTTACTGGTTTAAATTCTGCTATTTTTCATCTGATTGCAGATTAAGCATGCAAATTAAGGTGAAAAATAAAAATGTGAAAATTTGAAATGGTCGGTTCAAAGCCAAAAAAAACTCTCAAATAGGATAAATGACAAAAAGATGCCAAAATAAATAGAAAAAACCATATCAAAAAAGATTTAAAAAAAACTGTGAATTAGAATATGGCATTTTCAGATTCCACTAAAAATTCCTTATCTGATGAAACTTAAAGAGTGTGCCAGAGGACTGCATGTCATAGCAGGCTTGACTCTACCTGAAAGGCTTCAAGCATGGCACCAGTGATAGATTATCTCTGTTTTCCTGAGAATCAGTCTAGCTAAGTACTCAGAGGTAAATAACAGTAGGGCTGGCCACTTGGTGATGGATTCCTTGGATATGGCAATACGTAATAATCCCAATTACTAATAACATCTAGAAAAAACTTCCACAAAATGGTCCTCAGTTCTGGGGACCCCCATTCTATTTCTTTGGTGAAAGTGGAAGACAACTAAATATTTTGATACCGGCCACGTTCAGTCAAGAGTTTTTTCCCCCCAATTCCATGATGACATAAGATCATCATTTCAATGAATATTCATCAAGCAAAAGCATTGTAGTCAGTTCTAGGAGAGACAAAAAGTTTAGATAAGACATAGGTCCTTCCGTCACATAGGTTACAATCTAGGTATTGGATATGACATATATGTAGATAACTAACAACCTTAGTTTGGGAAATGCCAAACTGAGTCAAATTCACTACTGATTGAGCCCATTATGGTCTCAGATAATGTCATGGGAGGACATTTTTACAGAATACTATAGTTGCTTTCCTAGACATTAATTTAAAGAAAATTAGAAATAGACCACTAAACATCTTAATTTCCATTAATAACTCCTCATGGCTCATTAATTTTTGTAAACCTTTTAGAATCTAGTTCTATTTTCAGTTTTTCATCTCTTTTTTTTTTAAAAGGGAGGAATATTTTATTAGGGACAGAGTATTTGAAAAGTATATTACTATAAAGAGTATATGAAGGGTATATACCCCAAGATGTAATCTTTACTTCAGAAATAACATTTGAGTTAAGGAAATGGTGAAAGCTTCAGCCCTTATTTACCCATATCATAGGCTACTTAAAAGTACTTAGAATTCATCACACCTTACATATTTTGCTGGGAGGTTATTTATCATCAGCCTATGCATAGGTGGACCACAATGAAAGGAATTAATCAACAGCAGACTTTCTCACTTAGAAATATATTCCCATAGGTTATATCTACAACTGACGTATATATTTTTTTAAATATAGCTAATTTTCTAATCTTAGTATATACTCTTAGGTATTAAACTACTGCTCAGCCCTTATAGCTTTGTGGGATTAAAAAAATATAGTAGCACTGGCAATATAAAAATAACTCTTTAAATTCAACTCAGTAAGTAACTGGAAAAAAAAGAGTTAATAATGAATAAAAATGAGGGATGTTGTGATGATCTAGTGGGCACACCAGAAATCTTGCAAGTTCATTTTTTTTTTAGGCATTTGGGGTTAAGTGACTTGTCCAGGGTCACATAGCTAGTAAGTGTCAAATGTTTGGTCTGAGGCCCGATTTGAACTCAGGTCCTCTTGAATTCAGGGCCAGTGCTCTATCCATTGCACCACCTAGCTGCCCCAAGGAGATCCAGAATCTTTTTATTTATTTATTTTTTTGGCTATACAATGGGGTTAAGTGACTTGCCAGGGTCACATAGCTAGTAAGTTTCAAGTGTCTGAGGCCAGATTTGAACTCAAGTCCTTCTGACTCCTGGGCCAATGCTCTATCCACTGCACCACCTAGCTGCCCCCTGGTTCATTCTTAAAAGTGTTTTGTCATTGCAGATGGAAAGAAGCCATAGACTGATGGTAGGGCAGGAAGTAAAGGTGAAAGAGTGGACATATATTAAAAGTATTAATAGGAAAAGTAATTTTTTATTTGACAGTGAAGTAGACGGTGATGAAAAAACCTTGGATGTAAGATAAAAGCAATGATAGATACTGAAAAATATGGGAGATACTTGATTGAGACCTAGTTTTATACCTGAATTCCTAAAGGGTAATCATAACTCAAGAGTAATTTTAATTATGGAAATTTCAGGCATCCAGACAGGACTGAAAAGATGGGGAAGGAGGAGAGTAATGAATCATTTTTAAACAGCATTTGAGACAACCTAAACCAGTTGGCTTACACAAGGAGGCTGATCTATTTCATATTGTTTAGTGAAGCCAACTTTGTAATATGAAAAGTCATGATCAAAGCATTTTGTACAAAAAAATCCAAGAAATGATACAAAATAAGATTTAGAATAAAAGTAAATATTATACTACATTAAACATTTTTTTCTAACTTTTAAAAATGCTTTTGTATTTATTTTTAATTTTTATCTTTATAATAACCCTATGAGTTAAGCAGAACATGTTTGTTATTGCCATTTTCCAAAGAAGAATCAAAGACAGATTAGGGAAGTCACTTCCTAAAGTTTACCAAGTGACATAGTGAGAGTAATAGAATTAGGGATAGTATCATTTAATTTACATTCCAGTGCCTTCTTCAGGTCACTCTGCTAAAAGAGATACAGTTGGCAATGATATTTAATTAGGTCCTATCAATTAATAAAATAAATCAACAATCTTTTAGTAGGTGTCCACTAATTACTAGGCACAGGTCTAGTGTTAGAAAAATATTCCTAATGAATAAGCATAATCTAATAACAATTTTAAGAAGGAACCTTTCAGGCATTTAGGAAATGAAGACAGTGCTCACTGGGTATTGACCTTACAAGGACAATACTTACTATGGCCTTAGACCTTAGTATGACCATCCATGATCTTCAAAGGCAGACTAAAGGTAAGATGGGATTAGAAGTTGGTTAGGGCTGAAAACTGAGAAAAGAGAACATTTTTTTTTTCTTGAGAAAATGAAGAAATCTATAAGCAAAGAAAAACCATAGAAAAAAAGGTACAAAGCAAGAAACCCGAATTCCATAAGCACTTGTTAAGTATCCCAGCTATATATAACCAGTACTTTTCAAGGGAGATACAAAGGAACAGAGCCCTTTCAGTCAAGAAGCTTCCAGTTGAGTTGAGCAGACATGTAGAGGATTCTAAGGCAAGAGAAAAGTAACTCTCAGCCATTGCATATGGACACTTAGTTGGGCTCATAATTGAACAATACTATGAGGGAGGGCTGGGCTGCCTTTAGACAACAGCATAGCTCTTTTAATGGCCCCAAGCTCCTCTCTGAAACAAAAATTCATCTTTTTGACACCAACATTATTCTAGTGAGGGCTGTATTGTAACTGTTTAGTCATTGTAGATAGATAAAAATCATAGAGTGAGGCTAGGACAGGGAGCAAAAGTGAAAGAGTGCACATATATAAAAAGGTAAGTCACACCTCATGGACAGTGGAGAGATACTCGATGGGCATACCAAGTTTTAAACCATTACAAAGAATTCCATGGGAAGGGCAGGTAGGTGACTCAGTGGATAGAGCTCAGTGGATAGAGGACCCGAATTCAAATCGGCCTCAGACACCTGAACACTTACTAGCTGTGTGACCCTGGGCCAGTCACTTAACTCCAATTGCCTCAACAACAATAACAACAACAGCACAGCAAAAGAATTCCATTGGAGAAGCAGGATGATGATGATGATGATATCTAGCATTTATATAGCACTTTAAGGTTTGCAAAGTATCATACTTGTTATCTCATTCTAACTTCACAATAACCTTGTGAGGTAGTTGCTATTATTATCCTCATTTTACAGATGATGAAACTGAGGCTAAAAAATGTTAAATGACTTGCCCCCATGGTCACACAGCTTGTAAGTGTCTGAGACCAGATTTGAATTCATGAAGATGTGTCTTTTTGATTCCAGGCCCAAAGCTCTATTGACTGTCCCACCTAGCTGCCCACTAGGGAGTCTATCCAATGTGAAGGAGTCCTAGTTCCACTGATATTTTTTGGCTACCTTTGGAACATACAGGACATCTACTAGCTATCCTTCACTCTTGCCATGTGGAAAAAACCTTTTTCTTTTTTGCTTATTCGTTTCTTTGCTGGGGCTCTCCACTCTAAGGCAACTTGGTTGCACCCTAGGTAAGAACACTAAAATTGGAGTTAAGAAGACCTGATTTCGAATGCTGCCTCACTTTCCTCATTTGTAAAGTGATCTGCAGAAGGAAATGGCAAACCATTCTAGTATCTTTGCAAAGAAAACTCCAAATGAGGTCACAAAAGGTTGGACATGACTGACAATGACTCAACAAAAATGAAGTGAAAAGAGTAAGATAGGATGGGCAAACAAAGTTGACATGGCCCCCACAACAATGAGATCATTGCGCTGTTTGTGTATTGAAATTTATGAATATGAGGTTACTACTTCACCTCTAGGCCACATGTTAGGTGCTGAGGAAGCTTGAGCTGCAGGAAAAATCATCATGAGGTATTCTTAGCTCCATGATGCCTTGGTGAAGGAGGTGGAAAGCAAGGCATGAAAGGTTGTAGGGAAAAAAAAAAGCTGTTGACAACAATAAAGTAGATAGAAATACTCTATTAGTGACAAAGAACTGTAGGGATGCAGAAAAGAATTTGACAGAGAAGTCCCTCTAAAGAAATAGGTCTAGTAACACATGACAAGAAGTATGAACTTAATCAAAACTCTCAAAAGACTGGAGTACTAAACTCATTTTTCAGCCTGGATTCTACGAGAGAAATGAAGAAAACGAAAAGGAATTTGAACAATTAGATCTAATGGAGGCCCTGCAAAAATAGCTATCAATAGAAACCAAGTAAGAGAATACTTGAATGATCTGAACATGTATAAATCAGCAAGTCTGGCTGGCCTGCTCACAGGGATATTAGAGATCCTAGCAAACACTACAGCAGTTGTGCGCATGATGTTCTTGGCAAGTACTTTAAAAAAAGACCTCATTTAGAACTGGGAAGAGAGCATGTGATGCCAGACTAGCTTTTCTTCTTTCTTCAACAAGACAGGAAAGGAGCAAGCTTGACATTTATTCTCAGTAAAATAACAGACTAGATGTTACAGAGGGAACATGTAAGAATAGCAAGAGGATGATGGAAATGCTAGGAATTGTTCTTGAGCTTTATTCTGCAATTGCTACGTCTCTCTGTACTTACCTGGGAGTTGTGTGGGTAGACCAGGAAATGGGGTTGGGGAGGAGGAATTAAAAGCATCCAACCCAGGCCCCTTCCTTTATCCTCTTGCTGTCTCTAGATGATATAGGAAAACTTCTGTATCACATTTTGGGGGATATTATTACAAAACTTATTTGCGATCATAATCAATCACACAATAGAGGAAGGGAAGAAGCATTAATAGTTCAAATCTGGCCTCAGATGCTTATTAGCTGTGTGACCCTGGTGACCCAAGTCACTTATCCTGTTTGCCTCAGTTTCCTCCTGAGCTGTAGAAGGAAATGACAAACCACTCCAGTATCTTTGACAAGAAAACCCCAACAGGGGTCCCAGAGACATGATTGCAAAAGGACTTTACATTGTGTGCCAGGTACTGTGCTAAGTGCTTCACAAATATTATTTCATTTCATCCTCACAAGGGAGGTAGATGCTGTTACGATCCCTGTTTTATAGCTGAAAAATCTAATGCAAACCTAAGTTATGTGACTTGGGGTAGCTAGGTGGTTCAATGGATAGAGCACTGGCCCTGGAGTCAGGAGGACCTGAGTTCAAATGTGGCCCAAGGCACTTGACACTTACTAGCTGTGTGACCCTGGCCAAGTCACTTAACCCTATTGCCTACCCCAAATAAACAAACAAACAACAAAGTTATGTGGCTTGTCCAGTGTCACACAGCTAGTAAATGTTTGAGGACAGATTTGAACTCACGTCTTTCTGACTTCAGGTTCAGTGCGCTATCCACTGTGCCACAATAGTTTTCCTCCACTTTGCCACTATGGTGTAGGACCACATTAATCAAGGGATCATAATGGCCTTTTTGAGATCCAGTATGACAGAAGCACAGAAACTCAGACTTAGAAGGACTTTCCAAGAGCATTTCATCCAACCTAAGGATTATGCATTCTAGATTGAATGCTAAAAGAGACCTAATACTCCATATAGTGGAGCCTCTATTACAGGATACATTTGTATTATAATACAAATAATATTTTATTGTTTGTGGTATTGTGCAAAATTTCAGCCTAAGAATCCCCTCTATTACAAACCCAAGAAGTAGTGAACCATTCATTTCTTGGAGACCTAATAATAATAGCTCATGTTTATACAGTGTGTGCAACTTGGCAAAGTGCATCATATGCATTATCTCATCAGATCCTCACAATAACTGTGTGCAGCAGGTGCCATCAATATTTTACATACAATAAAAACTGACCCTGAGATGGAAAAAAACTTTCTAAGGGCCACATAGCAAGTAAATATGTAAGAACTTGGATCCATATTTTCCTGATTGCAGATCTGGCATTGGGTATCTCCATTATATCACACAACCTCTTAGTGAGGAGGTACCTTCAGCATCCGAGGCTGCCCATTTAACTTCTGGATAGTGTCCTAGGTTGTCTTTTTTCCATTTACGTCTATCTAGCCTAAACCTGTCTCTGTAATTTCTACGCATCATTCCTCATTCTGCCCTCTAAGGGAAATAGAACACATCTAATTCATCTTCCACATGACTCTCTAAATACCTGAAGGAAGTTATCATGGTCCCATCCTCAAGTCTTCTCTTCTCTGGGCGAAGCATCTCCAGGTTCTTAAATTGAACCTTCTAGGTTGTGATCTCAAGACCTTTCATCATACTGGGTTATTTTACACTGGATGCTCTCCCACTTATCAATTTCTTTCCTAAAATGTGCCTCCCATCCAGAACTGAATACAAAAACATAGGAAAAGTAGTATATTTCCCCTATATCCTTTGACCAATTAATTTCCACAAAGTAATTTCATATTTACGAGGTTACTATATTATGTATCCCCAAAGAATTTATCAGGGAGAGTGCTTCCAGTCAGGAAACACTCATGAGTTTGGAAAAAAAAATTAGAAACTACAAATTTATTTTTTATTCTAAGTTTTCATTTATTCTACCTATTTTCTCCCATTTAGATAAGCTATTACTTAAGAAGGGATGAACCATTGGTGGAGAGGAGCAAATCATAAAATGTCAAGGTCATTCAGTCACATGAAAAGCAAGCATTGAGCTGATTGAAAGTACAAAATGTGGGGGAAAGGTGAGAACATTGAAGTGCTCTGAATCACTGAGGTCATCACACAAACCTCCCCACAAATAAAGCACTACTAAATTAAAACATGGAATTAAAATGTTAAGGTGGTTAACCATAACCTTTAAGAATTTACAGTGGGTAGCATTTCTAATTCAATTTTAATGTGGTCATCAAAACACACTACGTTATATACAAACTATGGTTTAAATTCTTTTTATCTTATTTCTGTGTTGAAATTATTTCTTTGTTGAAAACTGCAAGAATGCATACAATATCCTTTAGGAAATTCAGTTAGTAATACTTTGTTGAGTGGTATAGTGGAAAGAGCTCGTGATTTGGAACTGATGGAACTGTACCTGAGTCTGGCTTTGTTACTACCTGTCTGAATTTGGACAACTCACTTTATATACTCAACCCTTAGTTTCTTGATCTGAAAAATGAGAAGGCTGAATAAGATGACCATTAAGGTCTCTTTTAGTTGCAGTCTCTTCAATTATTACCTTGAAATGTCTCTGCTCCAATTAATTTATTAGATTAATCACACCAATCATCTTCTGGTGATGTTATAAAGCTGAGAATCATGGAAGACTACAATCTCTGAAGAATTTATGTTGCAGCCAACCCAATGGGCAATGGGAAGCTAACAGTGGCTATGAGTAGTCTGCAACACACTATAAACAAGGACATGAGCTAAAATCACCGGGGATGGGCAGGCACATGTAGGCCAAGATCTGGAGCACTGGAGAGAGGCCACAGATAGACTGGTGCATTTGAGAATGACAAAGCAAATGCTGGCATTGTCAGGGTTTTACAGCTGTAAATTAGCTAGGTCTCCACGTATGCAGAATGGTAAAATGAATTGAAAAAGTCCATACTTGGTGAGATGTATATAAGGAACTGCAAGATCAAGAGTTAAAAAAGGGATAAGGATGATCAGACAGAAAGCTACTCGACTGCAGAGGCAATGACTTAAACTCAAAGGAAGGCTTAATTTTTTTAAATAGTCTTTTTTGGCCAACACTTAATTAGCATTTGTCTTAATCAAGAAAATACTATTCTTCAATGCTGAAAGAATCTACGAGAAACATCAGTTTCTTTTAAAAAATTAAATTATTTTCACAAACTGTTTCTTCACACTTCTATACTTTGATCTAATCGGCAGTATAGTTAAAATTGTTTCAGTAATAAAGATTAGAAATGTGAGAAAGAAGAAATAAATTGTGCAAATTATCTTCAGTTTGCAGCTTGCTTTACAAAGGTTTGCAAACCTCTTTCTTGTAGTACTCCATCTTTTAAATGCATGACCTGCTTCTTTTCATGTCTGGTTGCAATCTTAAAATGACAAAAGGCATCATTCTCAGATAGGATCGACTGGGCCACTGGTTTACACTTCAGAATTAAGAGAGATCCTCCATATTAATGAGCAAACACCTCAGGAAGCAGGGTTACCACTCAAGAAATCAAAAGAGAATGGAACTTAGACTCCAGATGGGAAACATGGGAGTAGTTTGAGTTTAGTTAATGAAGTGGATTAAAGGAAGACTGGATATTTGGGGGGTGGCTGGGTAAGAAGGAAAGATTTTGAAGTCCAGAAGCCATCAGCACAAACTAGCTTTGTTCTTTGTCATTCTATTGAATGTCTCAAAGACGTTTTACTTTGTAATCCCAAAACACAAATATCACAGGGATTCATTCATAAGAGCCAGTAAATACCATTTACAAAGCTTGTTTCTTCCTGTTTGGAGGGAATGAAAACTCTCTATGGAGAAATGATGGCAGTCATTTGATAGAGAGCTCAGTAGTTGTAATAGCAGCTCCCCTGCATGTGATCAGTAAATGCTATGAAGTCCATGACATCCATCCCTTAGGTTGGGGACAAAACACGAACTTGTACAATGTCAGAAATGACTGATTTATACTTGAAAGTTACATTACCTGCTGTGGTTCACTAGGGAATGAAAACACTACTTCTCCTTTTAAGATACCCCACCATTTTCTCAACTCTTTTCTCCCCCAACTTTAAAGTAAGCTCTGGAATAATGGTTTTGGTGGGTAGTTTTAAGGTCCACTCAGCTCCTCCAAAAAACTTGAAACAAACAAAATGCTTGCAAGAATTAAAATCAAAGAATAACAAAGTAGAACTGGAATGAAGAGACATCATAAAAAAAGGGAGGAATGAGCAAAAATAAAAAAGGAAAGTTGGTTATATGGCAAGATGGACAATGGACAGACTGTGTACTCCATTAATATTCTTTTGATGTTTGGAGAAATCAAACAAAGCCCACAATGCACTTGGTTGATGCCCTCTGACAAATGTACGGAGGGAAAAATGGACAAGTCAATAGAGGTTGGGCAGGCTAGAATGGGTTGCAGTCTGTACATTTGAAAATAGCCACACCAATGAAATCATAGATTCAATTGAGTTTTTGAAAAATCAAACAGATGCTTCTAAGCCTTTAAAGATTTAGAATGCTATTTTCAAGATTTAAAAAGTCTTTCCATTTGAGTATTTGAAAAATATATGTACATAATTGTAAATATACATATTTATAGATATACATATAGCATATATATGCCTACCCACCAATAGTTTATATTATACATAAATTTATATATATATTATATATATATGCATGGAATTACTCAGGTATAGGGATTCTTAGCAGGTCTGCAGATAGATTTCAAAGGGTCTATGAACCTGGGGAAAGCAACATCTTAATTTTCAGTAACCTCTAATTGAATTTGAGTATTTCTTTCAGTTACAAATGTAGGCAACAAAACCCTGTTCTGAGAAGGGGAACATAGGCTTCCCTGGAACCAAAAGCATTCATGACCATCATTCAGTCAATAAGCATTCCTTAAGTGCCTATGTACCAGGCACTGTGCCAAGTACTGGGGGTACAAAGAAAGGAAAAAGACGATCTCTATTCTCAAAGTGTTCACAGTCTAATGGAAGAGACAACATGCAAAGGACTATGTACAATGAATACATGTACGTGATAATAAATTGGAATAATAATAATAATTAAATATATATATTGGAATAATTAATTGGAAATAATTAACAGAGGGAAGGCATTAGAATTAAGAGGCATTGGGACACATAAAAAGGTTAAGAAGTCCTGCTGTAATCCAAATTTAGCCATGATTTTCACTTTTGGTTTCTGGTGTTTGTTCTGATGCTGAAAGGATTAAATGATAAGCAGTGTGGTGTGGTGGCTAAGAGAGACAAAAAGACCCTGTCTCTGTGAGTCTAGGCTAGGGAGGGAGGAAGTGTGTGTTAACAGGCCTGGATCTAGAATAAGAAGACCTGGTTTGAGGCCCATCTCTGATACTTGCTAACCGTGTGACCTTCAACCTCTCTAGTCTTCCATTCAATATGTGTGAAATGAGATCAATGGACTAAATGATATCTAAGGGCCCTTCTGGCTTTAAATCTTAATCTATGACCAAAAGAATTTAACATCTCAAAGACTATTGGTTACAGAAGTCTTCCTGTTCTTCAGTGGTGAGGGGAATTTTCACAACAGGATTCCTCCAAACTGATGAAATCATGGGTCTAGACAACCTGCCTCCTCCATTCTCTCCTCCCTTCCCCCCCACCCAAATGTCAGGTAAAACTTCTGTTAACACAGCCACATTTGAGAAGTGGTATTTGCTGCATTTTAAAATACAACTTCTTAATTATAAAGCTTTTCACTAATCGCCTTACTTCTTACACATATCTGCCTCCCCCTTCTCCCAAATGGAAAGATACAGGAGTGGAAGGAATGAGAAAAGAATGCCATAAGATAGCCATCACTCCAAAAGACGGGGACCAAAGTTGCCCAAAAGTGTTTCCACTGTGCATTCCCTGATGATCATGTCATTTCCTAATTATTGTCAGACTTCCCACATTCATTGACAGGCTATTATAGTCAGAATGGATGCTGAAAACTTCCAGCACTTAGAAATGCTCTTAAGACATATAAAAATATCTTTATTTAGAATGGGACACATAATACCTGCCAAATTTGCAGGTTGGAAACCACTTCCAATAAGAATTAAAAAGCCCTCTTTCCAGCTGAAATAGGCCTATCAATAGATGACTTGTCTACCCATGAGAAATAGCAGGTTCTTGTCTCTGACGTTGCAATTTAGTATAAAATAGCTTTTATGATGACGGGGTACATAGGAATGATAAAACTGTAGAGATGACAGTCTAATCTTCAGAGATGACCGATCATCAATAAAAGATTAAGTAATGTAACATCCCAAATGCCAGATTACCAGTCAGTTGGCACACATTTCTTCCTGAATAACACTGAGATAACCACAGCAGGAAAATGCTTTTCCTTATAAACTAGAAATGATTCCCTCTTGTCTATTCCATTCCCCACAAAAGACAGAAAGGGAAAGAATAAAATGAAATGACCTTTGTCAAATATCTTTTTTTTTTCTGACTAGCAGCTTTAAAAGGCAGAATGATAAGTAATGATCAGAAATATCCTTGCTTTTCTTTTGTTTTCACATGTGACTGTCTTTAGAATAATGATAATTATTAAGAAGCTTGTGATTACTCAAATTTAAGAAAAAAGAAATAAAATACACATACAAGAATGATGAGACATGCTGGTCCTATAAAGCTCCAAATAAAGTTATTTTCTGTGCTGAGCCAACATCTGAAAAATAAAAATAAAATAAAAATAGATATAGATGATAGAGATATAGATGACGATATATATGCTTCTTGTATTTTATACTGCGTGACATTGAAAAATATAAATACTTGGTACTTCCTGAAAGTCCCGATAAACTATTTCAGACAAGGAATATGGTATAGAAGATAGGGAGCTGGCATAGAATGGAGGAAGACCAGAATTAAAGTCATACCTCTGACAAATACTATTTGTGTGACCCTGAGCAAGCGATTTTACCTCTCAGTGCCTCTAGCAACTCCCTTGGATTGTAGGTGGTAAAGAAGTTGCTAACCTGGACTGTTATTCAATGAGCTCCAATGGCTTCATCTTGCCTCCAGGAGCAAATATGAAATGTTTTGTTTGTCATTCAAACGCAGCTGTCCCTTACCCTCCAATCTTTTTACACCTTACTCCCCAACATATGCCCTTCCATCCAGTAGTGATACTGACAGCCTGTATGTTTGTTCTATGTACAAGACAGTTTATCTCTCAGCTCTGAGAATTTTCTTTGGCTATCTCCCATGCCTGGAATGCTCTCCCTCCTGTGCTCCAACTACTGACCTCCCTGGTTTCCTTGAGATCCCAGATAAAATCCCACCTTCTCTAGGAAGTCTTCCCCAACCCCTCAATTCCTGTGTCTTCCATCTTTTAGATTATTTCCTATGCATCCTGTATATAGTTGGTTTTGCATGTATTGGTTTGCACGTTGTCACCTCTGTTAGATTGCAAGCTCCATAAGGATAAGGACTGTCTCTCTCTTTTTGTATCCCTGGTGCCTGGCAAGTAGCAGGTGGTAAAAAATATTTGTTGATAGATTGATCGATTGGTAGAAGGAACTTCTGTTCTTAGGAGTTCCCATAGAAAACTACAGGTCTAGTACTTATCCTAAGGAAAACAAAAATAAATAACATGTAACACTTATAGACGTTTCCAGAAAGGTGCACCAGTACACCAACTCTTTCACTGAAGAGAAGGGGAAGGAATTTGATGGGTGTACTAGAATACCCTTCTAGGATGACTTCTGCCTGTAAATATGTTGAATATAAGCAAGCAAAGGGAAATTAGCAGTCATGCCCCCCAAAAGCAGGTCTATGATTATAGCAAGCACTTCAATGAAACAGCAGTCACTTACACTTTTGTTGTCCCATAGTATCTATATCCTAGGGCTGCTGAAAATCCAACCACCACAGCTGGACTGAGGTAGCCA